AGATAATCCTTTAAAAACGAAGTACAGAATTCAAAAATGCTCAAGACAAACAGTATACAACTTCATTGCAAGGCGAAAGCCTCCACCTGACTGCCGGCATTCAGCACCACCGTCTCCGGCGTCGTCGGAGCCCCCAGTCGCACCCACTCCCTGGGAAGCCCCGCATCTTTCCTGGCCGACTGGATCGCGTGCTGCATGGCGAAGAGGACTCCGACGGCCAGGCACAGAGCTGGCTCCCCCGTGGCCTTGGATCGCATGAAGCCCACCGGGTTGGGACTCTTCTGCAGCAGCTCGATGCGGAAGTCGATGGGAATGTCCTTGGCCCCGGGTGGGTGGTAGTTCCAGGTGCGGTTCGTCAGGATGCGACCCGTCTGGCGGTCGTAGACCAGCAGCTCGGTGAGGTAGTAGCCCAGACCCATGGTGAAGGCTCCCTCCACTTGGCCCACATCGATGTGCGGACTCAGGCTCTCTCCAGCGTCCTCCAGGATGTCCACTCGTCGGATCAGGTGGTTTCCGGTCAGAATGTCCACTTCCAGTTCGGTGAGACTCAGCCCGTATATGTTGTAGTTGGGTATGTCCCCCAGCTTGTACGATTCCGTGGCGATAAGGAAGACGGACTGCAAGTAGGCCGCTTGGAGCACCTGCAGCCAGGTGGCCCTTGGTCCCAGTCGCTCCTTCACCGGAGCCAGTCGCTGGTTGAGCGTCTCGCAGGCCTTCCGCACCGCCAGTCCGATCATCTCGCTGGTCATCGAGTTGGCCGTCAGCATGGAGTTGGCTCCACTGACCGTGTTGCTGGCCTCCACCCGCACCTGATCCAGAGGAACTCCGAGCGCGAAGGCCGCCACCTGGGCCGCCTTGGTGTTCAACCCCTGTCCGATCTCGATGCCCCCGTGCGAAATCACCACTGATCCGTCCTCGTGGTAAATGGCCACCGTGGCGGGGTAGTTAAAGGCAATGGTGGTGTTCAGTGTAAAGTTCATAAGGGCCAATCCCAGACCACGTTTGCGCCACCGGTTCTGGGCGTTGAATAAGTTGATCTCCTCCCGCCTTTTCCGGTATTCTGTGGATTGCAGAAACTTTGGCAGCAGCTGAACCATTTTACTATTCGGATGAAGATTAACCAAACGAACATCGGCGGGATCTAGTTGGCAGGTGAAAGCAATATTCTCCATTGCTGTTTCCGTCATTGCAATGCCTGTGTGCTAGAATATATGAGATTACTCTGTTTGTAAAATTTTGGTCATTAGTAATTACCCTCTGCTGTTCCAGGAGCTCGGCACCACGTGGAGCTGGGGGCGTCTGTTAGAATAGCATTGCCCTTGGCCCGGAGGTTCAAGTCATTCAGGTTGTAAACATTTTTCAGGGCTGGCAGTGTCAAAAAGTCCACGACATTCTCGTTAAGGCTACAGCCAGCATCCTGATAGTAGTTGTTGGTCAGCAGGATGACGGATCCGTTGGCGCGTGCTCGGAACTCGTAGTCCGATCGGCAGGCCCAGCGTTTGCCGATAGTTTCCATCATGGACTCGATCGTCTGCACAAATCTGACGGGACGCCTCAACTTGGCAGCTACCAAGGCGGCGGCACAGGCCACCATGTTGCACCTGGTTTCCTTGACGCCGTAGGCTCCGCCCACGCGTCTAACTTGCAGCTGAATGGAGTTCACACTCACACCCAGCACTTGGGCAATGGCTCCCTGCGTGCCATCCATCCACTGGGTCGATGAATACACCTGAAGGATGTCGTCCATCGGCACCATGATCGTGGTTTGAGGTTCCATGGTAAAGTGGTACTGGGACCCCATTTCAAGTACGCCCCTTCCCTCAACATCGCCTGGGGCGAGTGGGGGTAGCTTAAGAGGCTCCACACGTTCTTTCTTGAAGCAAACAATGCGATCTGCCTGCCTCTCCGTCAGCACTTGGCTCATGCTTGTGTAGACTCTCTGCTCGTCCTTGAGATATGTGACCACCACCAAAGTGGCGGCATGGACAGCAGCGTCGTGGGTTAGCGCAGCAATCACTCCCAACGGCTGATCATAGTACTTTACCCGTCCAGCAGCAAAGACCTCCTCGCTTTCAGGAGTCAGTTGACCCAGAGTGACAAAGTTGTTGACTCCAGGAATGTCCTTGGCCGAATAGAAGGCCACCACGCCCTTGCACTGGAGGGCAGCGGAGGCGTCGATCTGCTCGATGGTGGCTCCTACCCGCTTGGCGGTCACAAAAGCGCAGTGCACCGCATTCGAAGTAGTCAGCAAATCGTTCATGTACATGGCTTCGCCAGAACATTGAATGAGACCTGAAACGCACAGTAGTTACAAAAAGATAACTATTAGTAGTTATGCTTACCCTCCAGCTTCTGCACTGGTTGTGTGACCGGGTAGTTCTTCTTAATGGTCTCAAAGGATTGGCTGCCCGAGGACAGAGGTCTCTCCAGGAGCAATCCTCCGGAGCGATATCGCTCTCGAACTCGCTCTCTAGGTGCGGTGGCCAGCAGGAACTTGTAGAGCAAGGAGCAGGCCAGGATCTGTCGATATTCCGGAGAGGCTTCCGGTGGCCGTTCTTCGGGTTGAAGGCTAGTTGGCAGCTGTTGAAAGATCTGTGCAATTGTTGCAGGATCATAGAGAGCCTTTCCCGGGACTAGCTGCTCTACATTTTCAGCATGCACATAGTCCGGCCGAATGTTGCCGAAACAAATCCGAGCAGAGCGAACCATTTTTCGCTGAATATCATCCCATTCGATGAGAAATCCCGCATTCACATATGCGTGAACATTTTGCGCTCTCGCTAAGATCTTGATTAATTGAGAGAAAATCACATGTAGTACAATTTTGTGGGGTCAGCCATATATACCACCTTGTACGATCTGAATAGGTATCTATCCTCTGGGTAGGCCTTCAAGACAAATGCACCCAGTACCAGTTTGGGAGTGTTGTCACTCAGATAAGACTGCAGACTCATTATCTTGTGATTACTGGGATTGTCGAATACTTGGACATGCACATCCAAAGCCTCGAATGTAATGAAAACATCGGAAGGGAACTCGGGATGCCGCTTTTTAATGCAGATATTGCCTGCCAGAGTGCCGTTCTGTCCAAACAATAAGCAATACATTTTAATTAATAAAATTAACACCTAGTTCAAAGAGGTTTTGTGCAACATTTTAACAATCAGTATATATTAACTTGAGATTAGATCATTCTTTCCTATAACAACTACATCAACAAACAAATATGCTGCGCATATAGCATTCATTTTCTGTTTATGTATGATTTTTAGCCTGGGTAAAATACTTAACTTATCTTAATGCTTGTTAATCAGCGAATAACTTTTTTAAATAATGTAGAGAAATACTCACATTTCGCACCGGCACATTGGCAATCAGGTTGAAATGCTGCCACAACTGAGCACAGTACTCGAATCCGGGCATCTTGGCGGCCAGCAGAAAAACCTGCATGGCATCGGTGAGAGTGACATTCCCGCCCAGCAGCAGGTGATCCGCCTCGATGCTGTACTGCCTCAGCTCCGGCACCAGGTTCACGTCGATGAAGTGGCGGATGTCCCTGGGTCGCCGGTAAACTCCGTGGGCCGTGTTCCCTGCCACCAGGATGTATAGATCTCCGTTTCCCACCTGGCCGAGGGCCGAGAAGAGCTCCGCCAGCGACTTGGGCCAGTACCAGTGGCTACCACTTTGATCCCTCAGCGGAGGTCTCGAGCAGCTGCCCTTGCAGGATTGTCCAGTTCGTGGGCAGAGCAGCTCGAAGGAGTCCTCTATGTCCACGCACTCGGGGGGCACCTCTATGTTGCTGTCCACCGCGAAGGACTTCATGGCATCCAGGATGGGTCGGTAGCCAGTGCAGCGACAGAGGTTTCCACCGAACGCATCCTCCACCTGCGACATGCTCACCTGACCACGATGCTGCTCCAGTAGTCCGTACATGTTCATCACAAATCCGGGGGAACAGTAGCCACACTGGGTGCCATTCATCTGCGCCAGGCGCTTCTGGATCGGATGGTAGCCGCTTTGTTGGTTGCCCAGTCCCTCGTCCGTCATGATATCCACATCGTCACAGGTGTTCAGCAGTGTTAGACACTGAAATCACGTTGACAAAAAATTAGCTTAGTTGCAACTTTGTCGATCTTGTATCGAAATTCAGTTCTCTAATGGATATCATTCGTGAATAAGAGTATATCAAATATGCATGCATTTGAAAATTATATATTTTTTAAAGAAAATGTTATTTTTAGAAATTTTCCATTAAAATTCGAACAGAGAAAGTCACTTACCGAGTTGGCTGCCCGAGACTGCACCTCCTGGGTGACCGGGTGGCGCCTGCGGATGACGCAGATGCAGGAGCCGCATCCGCCCTCCAGGCACATGTACTTGGTGGCCGTCAGGTGTAGGTGCTCCCGGAGGAAGGCGTTGAGGGTGGTGTCCGGGGCGTAGTCCGCCGCCTGCACCTCGTAGGGGAAGCCATTAACGTTGAATTTGATGCTCATCGTCGCGGAGTCGTCGCTCGAATGGAGTTTTTTTGGCCAGGCGTTTCTATTTCATATTGCTGCTAAAACCTGATTACACTATAATTTGGATAAACGGGTTCGAGCAGATATATACCATCAAAACGGACACTGTGCAAAATATTGGTACCCTGCTAATTGCATATTAATAAACTTTACTCATTTTAAGAAATCAAAATTTTCAAATAAGATTTTCAGTTTATTTTTTAAGTTTTTTGGTAATTTGTGTGATTTACATTTACAGTTGCAGTCAATATAATAATAGTGTTAAAGCTTATAGAAATATCAATCAAAAATAATTAGGAAGCAATATTTGCTTTATTTTTAGATAATATTTTACACTAAATGCAGCATATAAAAATTTGAATATTAATAAAAAATTTCAAACATTTTAATTTCCATGTAAAGCTAAACGAGGATTAATGGATATTTATTTAAATTGTTTAAAAATGATTTAAATCTTCCTTGAAAAACTAAAAGAACATAAAATATTTTGTAACCCTCATTTTATTTATTGGTAAAAAATCAGTATGATAAATTTAAAGATTAGTTGTTCGGATTTCAATAGCCATTCCAAAAAATATACGAAGCTAAATCAATCGGATTCAAATGAATTCCATTATTGGATTGAGAATGCCTCCACCTGACTTCCGGCATTCAGCACCACCGTCTCCGGCGTCGTCGGAGCCCCCAGTCGCACCCACTCCCTGGGAAGCCCCGCATCCTTCCTGGCCGACTGGATCGCGTGCTGCATGGCGAAGAGGACTCCGACGGCCAGGCACAGAGCTGGCTCCCCCGTGGCCTTGGATCGCATAAAGCCCACCGGGTTGGGACTCTTCTGCAGCAGCTCGATGCGGAAGTCGATGGGAATGTCCTTGGCCCCGGGTGGGTGGTAGTTCCAGGTGCGGTTCGTCAGGATGCGACCCGTCTGGCGGTCGTAGACCAGCAGCTCGGTGAGGTAGTAGCCCAGACCCATGGTGAAGGCTCCCTCCACTTGGCCCACATCGATGTGCGGACTCAGGCTCTCTCCAGCGTCCTCCAGGATGTCCACTCGTCGGATCAGGTGGTTTCCGGTCAGAATGTCCACTTCCAGTTCGGTGAGACTCAGCCCGTATATGTTGTAGTTGGGTATGTCCCCCAGCTTGTACGATTCCGTGGCGATAAGGAAGACGGACTGCAAGTAGGCCGCTTGGAGCACCTGCAGCCAGGTGGCCCTTGGTCCCAGTCGCTCCTTCACCGGAGCCAGTCGCTGGTTGAGCGTCTCGCAGGCCTTCCGCACCGCCAGTCCGATCATCTCGCTGGTCATCGAGTTGGCCGTCAGCATGGAGTTGGCTCCACTGACCGTGTTGCTGGCCTCCACCCGCACCTGATCCAGAGGAACTCCGAGCGCGAAGGCCGCCACCTGGGCCGCCTTGGTGTTCACCCCCTGACCGATCTCAATGCCCCCGTGCGAGATCACCACCGATCCGTCCTCGTGGTAAATGGCCACCGTTACGGGATAATTGAACGCCACGGTCGTGTTCAGGGGGAAGCTCATCAGTGCCAAGCCGATACCTCGTTTGCGCCATCGATTCTGGGAGTTGTACAGATTGATTTGCTCCCGACGCTTGCGATACTCTGTGGAGGCCAAAAATTTGGGCAACAGCTGCACCATTTTGCTTCCGGGCTGAAGATTAGCCAGTCGAACATCCGCAGGATCCAGTTGGCAAGTGAAGGCAATGTGCTCCAAAGCGGTTTCTGTCATTGCAATGCCTGCGAATGGGAAAAGTATGTCATATTAGCTTGGTACTATAGTTATACACATATGTAAATGTCTTTATAATGGTCGTTTCTGATAGTTTTAAACTCACCCTCCGCGGATCCCGGAGCTCGACACCAAGTGGAGCTGGGTGCATCTGTTCTGATGGCACTGCCTTTAGCCCTATAGTTCGAGTCGGTCAGGTTGTAAACGTTTCGAAGGATTGGCAGCGTAAGAAAGTCCACGACATTCTCGTTCAGATTGCAGCCGGCATCCTCGTAGTAATTATTGGTCAGCATGATGATTAAACCACTGGCTCGGGCACGGAACTCGTAGTCCGAGCGGCATGCCCAGCGTTTGCCGTTGATCTCCATCATGGCCTCAATAGTCTGCACAAATCTGGCCGGTCTTCTCAACTTCGAAGCCACCAAGGCGGCGGCACAGGCCACCATGTTGCACCTGGTGACCTTGGCTCCATAGGCTCCTCCCACTCGTCTAACTTGGAGCTGAACGGAGTTCACACTCACACCCAGCATTTTGGCAATCGATCCCTGGGTGGCATCCATCCACTGGGTGGCACAGAATACCTGCAGGATGCTATCCAAGGGCACCGCAATAGTCGTTTGAGGTTCCATGGTGAAGTGGTACTGCGATTCCAGTTCAAGGATCCCCCTACCAAGGACATCGCCAGGAGCAAGCGGGGGTGACATGAGGGGTTCCAGGTGTTCCTTCTTTAAGCACACAATGCGATCGGTTTGCTTTTCCGCCAGCACTTGGTTCATGCTCGTAAAGATCCTGCGCTGATCCCTGGCATAAGTGACCACCACCAAAGTGGCGGCATACACAGCTGCATCATGGGTGAGAGCAGCAATCACTCCCAAGGGCTGATCGAAGTACTTGACCTGCCCAGCAACAAAGATCTCGTCCACCTCAGGGGTAAACTGATCCACAGGAACAAAGTTGTTGGCTCCAGGAATGTCCTTGGCCGAATAGAAGGCCACCACGCCCTTGCACTGGAGGGCAGCGGAGGCGTCGATCTGCTCGATGGTGGCTCCTACCCGCTTGGCGGTCACAAAAGCGCAGTGCACCGCATTTGAGGTGGTCAGCAAATCGTTCATGTACATGGCTTCGCCAGAACATTGAATGAGACCTGAAACGCACAGTAGTTACAAAAAGATAACTATTAGTAGTTATGCTTACCCTCCAGCTTCTGCACTGGTTGTGTGACCGGGTAGTTCTTCTTAATGGTCTCAAAGGATTGGCTGCCAGAGGACAGAGGTCTCTCCAGGAGCAATCCTCCGGAGCGATATCGCTCTCGAACTCGCTCTCTAGGTGCGGTGGCCAGCAGGAACTTGTAGAGCAAGGAGCAGGCCAGGATCTGTCGATATTCCGGAGAGGCTTCCGGTGGCCGTTCTTCGGGTTGAAGGCTAGCTGGCAGCTGTTGAAAGATCTGTGCAATTGTTGCAGGATCGTAGAGATCCCTACCTGGGAGCAGTTGCTCCACTTGGTCGTCGTGTATGTAGTCCGGTCGAATGTTGCCAAAACAAATACGAGCAGAACGTACAGTCCTGCGCTGTATATCCTGCCAGTCAATGAGGAAACCTGCGTTCACATAGGCATGGACATTCTGAGCTCTTGGCAAGATCTGTTAAGAATTAAAGTCAAAATTTATAACATCATTTCATAGTTCATAGTTCACCTTGTAAGATCTGAATAGGTATCTGTCCTTGGGATAGGCTTTTAAGATGAATCCACCCAACACTAGTTTTGGTGTTGTGTCGCTGAGATAGGACAGGAGAGTCATTACCCTCTGGGAACTGGGATTGTCGTAAACCAGGACATGCACATCCAAAGCCTCGAAAGTGATGAACACATCGGAGGGAAATTCGAAATGTTGCTTCTTAATGCTTATGTTGCCCGCCAGTGTGCCATTCTGTTTAAATAATAGTAAATGAAAATCATCAAATACAAATAAAAAATTATGCAAAGGCTTACAAATATTGAAAAGTATATACTATGACTTATAAGTTTGCTTAATTGTTTTGTACTCCTATTAATAGAAAATATATATATTAATGATTTCTGCAAATGTCAATTTGAAAAACTTTTCTCTTTGTGTCTTTGTTACTTAAATTGATTTACTATCTATGCTGTGAAAGTAAAATGAGTTTTTAAGCAAAAGTTTTCTCTTAACCAGTAAGGAGTTGCCTGGTTTTGTCAGTAAACTCGTAACGGCCATTGGAATAAATAACAAAAAATAAGTTAATTTATTATGTGTTCTAAAAACTTACTTTGAAGCTATGTTTAAAAAAAAACTATAATTCATTTGAAATTATTTTTGAGCTGAATGCTTATATACATTTAAGAAAAAAGAGCATTCACATGTCCAACTACAATTATTTTCGCTTATCTTCGTCTTTGTCAATCTCCAAAACGTGTTTGGGATTTTATGGCTTGCTCTACTCACATTTCGCACCGGCACATTGGCAATCAGGTTGAAATGCTGCCACAACTGAGCACAGTACTCGAATCCGGGCATCTTGGCGGCCAGCAGAAAAACCTGCATGGCATCGGTGAGAGTGACATTCCCGCCCAGCAGCAGGTGATCCGCCTCGATGCTGTACTGCCTCAGCTCCGGCACCAGGTTCACGTCGATGAAGTGGAGGATGTCCCTGGGTCGCCGGTAAACTCCGTGGGCCGTGTTCCCTGCCACCAGGATGTATAGATCTCCGTTTCCCACCTGGCCGAGGGCCGAGAAGAGCTCCGCCAGCGACTTGGGCCAGTACCAGTGGCTACCACTTTGATCCCTCAGCGGAGGTCTCGAGCAGCTGCCCTTGCAGGATTGTCCAGTTCGTGGGCAGAGCAGCTCGAAGGAGTCCTCTATGTCCACGCACTCGGGCGGCACCTCTATGTTGCTGTCCACCGCGAAGGACTTCATGGCATCCAGGATGGGTCGGTAGCCAGTGCAGCGACAGAGGTTTCCACCGAACGCATCCTCCACCTGCGACATGCTCACCTGACCACGATGCTGCTCCAGTAGTCCGTACATGTTCATCACAAATCCGGGGGAACAGTAGCCACACTGGGTGCCATTCATCTGCGCCAGGCGCTTCTGGATCGGATGGTAGCCGCTTTGTTGGTTGCCCAGTCCCTCGTCCGTCATGATATCCACATCGTCACAGGTGTTCAGCAGTGTTAGACACTGAAATCACGTTGACAAAAAATTAGCTTAGTTGCAACTTTGTCGATCTTGTATCGAAATTCAGTTCTCTAATGGATATCATTCGTGAATAAGAGTATATCAAATATGCATGCATTTGAAAATTATATATTTTTTAAAGAAAATGTTATTTTTAGAAATTTTCCATTAAAATTCGAACAGAGAAAGTCACTTACCGAGTTGGCTGCCCGAGACTGCACCTCCTGGGTGACCGGGTGGCGCCTGCGGATGACGCAGATGCAGGAGCCGCATCCGCCCTCCAGGCACATGTACTTGGTGGCCGTCAGGTGGAGGTGCTCCCGGAGGAAGGCGTTGAGGGTGGTGTCCGGGGCGTAGTCCGCCGCCTGCACCTCGTAGGGGAAGCCATTAACGTTGAATTTGATGCTCATCGTCGCGGAGTCGTCGCTCGAATGGAGCTCTTTTGGCCAGGCGTTTCTATTTCAAAGCGCAGCTGAAACCAGATTACGCGTTAATAAGGCCAAACGGGTTCGAGCAGATTAAAGTGCCATAAAAACGGACACTGTGCGAAATATTGCATTTTTGAAATAATATTTTTGTGTTTTTCAGTGTGTTGCTTGGTTGATTTCTTGATAAGCATTTTTTTAATCTAGACGTTGATGGAAAACAATTTTTTAACAAATAAAAGATAAATTAGATTTCAGTAATGGGCAAATCATAGATATAATGTCGCGTATGAATGATAATCATATTATAAGAGTTAGCTCGAGAATATATTCTAATCAAACACCAATTGTTTTCTGACTTATATTGTAATGGTGATATATTTATATAAAAACCTCAAGCAGTGGTATAAGTATTAAAGTATAATATATATTTCAAACATATATTGGAGAACAACAATAATAAGTATAAAAAGTATATAAAATGACCTTCCAACCAGAAATCTACTTTAGCCTAAAGCCCGCTGCATCGTGTCCTGCATTGACCACCAGAGTTTCTGGAGTTGTGGGAGCTCCCAGCCGCACCCACTCCCGTGGAAGCCCCGCATCCTGGCGGGCGGAATTCAGGGCCTGTCGCAGGGCGAACACCACACTCACAGCCAAACAGCAGGGTGGCTCTCCGGTGGCCTTGGACCTCATAAACCCAGCTCCAGTCGGATTGGGCTTCTGGATCAGCTCGATGCGGAAGTCGATGGGAATGTCCTTGGCCCCCGGCGGCTTGTAGTTCCAGGTACGATTGGTCAACAGACGACCTGTCTCGCGGTCGTAGACCAGCTGCTCACTCATCCAGTAGCCCAGACACATGACGAAGGCCCCCTCGACCTGCCCAATGTCTATGTACGGACTCAGGCTCTCTCCAGCATCCTCCAGGATATCAACGCGTTTGATCTGACTGTTTCCGGTGAGCACGTCCAACTCGACTTCGGTTAGGGACAGGCCGTATATGTGATAGTTCTCCATGTCGCCCTCCTTGTAGTGATCCGAGGCTATCAGGTTGATGGACTTCATGTAGGCAGCCTGAATGGTCTCAACCCAACTGGCATCCTTCTTCTTCACCGGCTGCAAGCGAGTGTTGAGGATCTCGCAAGTCTTACGGACCGCGTAGCACAGACTTTCACTGCCCACAGCTCCTCCGGTGACCATTGAGTTAGCCCCGTTGATGGTGTCCGAGGACTCAACCCTGACAAAGCTCAAGTCGACTCCTAGGGTATAGGCAGCCACCTGAGCCACTTTTGTGTTCAAACCTGTAAATTAAAGGGAAATTAATGGAAGTACACCTGTACCATGGACTGTCAACTATACCCTGTCCCATTTCGATGCCTCCATGGGTAACCACAACCGTGCCGTCCACATGATAGATGGCCACTGTAGCCGGATACTGGCCAAAGTAGAAGATGGGGTAGTCCATCACAGCCAGTCCAAGTCCCCGTTTCGTCCAGCGATTTTTGGCATTATGTGATTCAATCTCCTTCTTTCTCTGTGCATACTCTCTCGACTCAAGAAATTGGGGTAACAATTCGGACATCTTGTTTCCCGCCGGAATGTTGACCAGTCGCACTTCGGCAGGATCCTTTTGCACCTCGAAGGCAACGTGCTCGATTATGTTCTCCATCATGGCGATTCCCTCCACGGAACCCGGAGCCCGACACCAAGTGGAACTGGGCGCATCTGTGAGCACAGCATTGCCGTTGTTCTTGAAGTTCTCTCCATTTAGGTCATAGCAATTAGTGGCCGTGAAGGTCGAGTGACCCTCGATGGGACTCTCGTTCGCATTCCAGCCAGCGTCCTCGTAGAAATTGTTTGTCAAACCCACAATTTTGCCATTGGACTTCACGTGACACTGATAGTCGGAGCGACAAGCCCATCGTTTGCCATTGCAATCCATCATGGACTCCAGCGATTGGACAAATCGAACGGGACGATTCAGTTTGTAGGCAGCCAGTGAGGCAGCACAGGCCACCTGGTTGCCACGGGATATCTTCGATCCATAGGCGCCTCCCAGTCTTCGGACCTTTAATTTAAAGCGAAGGTTATTGCAATATGATACATAGCAAAACCGATGTTAGCCTTACCTGCAGCTGCACATCCTTTGCCTTTACCTGCAGCATATGAGCAATCACGGACTGAGTGTGATCCATCCATTGGGTGGCCGAGAAGATCTTTAGTCCGTCCTCGAAGGGAATGGCCACAGTTGTCTGGGGCTCCATGGTAAAGTGATACTGCAGACCCATCTGGAAAATGCCACTAACCTCTTTGTCAGGTTGATCCGTGAATTTGATCATCTTTGAGTCCGAATTGGATACAGGCACAATGCGGGATTGGTCCGGAGTAGGAGCTGCAAATACATCTCCCAAGCTCGGAAGCAACTTAAAGTCCGAGCTGGGATTGCTGTAGGTGATCCTCACCAGCTTTGCAGCACGTTGGGCCTGGTCAGCAGTCAGAGCCACTATTATGCCCGCTGGCTGTTCCGAGTGGCGCACCAATCCCGAGCAGAAGATCTCCTCCACAACGTAGCCAAAAGTGGGCTCACAGAAGGTGTTCGTTCCGGGAATGTCCTTGGCAGAGTAAAAGGCCACCACTCCGGGCTGCCGGAGGGCTTCCGAGGCATCGATCTGGTCAACGGTGGCTCCCACTTTGGTAGCCCCCACGAAGGCGCAGTGCAACGTGTTGGAAGTGGTCAGGACATCGTTCATGTAGGTGGCCTCCCCCGAACATTGGATCATGCCCTCCACCTTTTCCACAGCCTCAGTGACCGGGTAGTTTTTCTTCTGGGTCTGGAAAACTTGCTGGCCGGAGGAGAGAGGTCGCTGTAGGATCTGGCCTCCACTGTTGAATTTTTCATCAACCTCCGCTTCGGGAGCGTGCTTAAGCAGGAACTTGTAGAGCAGTCCACATGCCAACTTGGCGCGATAGACGGGACTGGCATCGGGCAGCACCTCATCTGGCTTAATCAGGTCTTCCAATTTGGTGAATGTCTGCTCCACCATGTTGCTCTCATAGGGATTCTGACCCACCAGCAATTTTTCAATCACTGTAGCGTGTACGAAGTCGGGACGAATTCCGCCAAAGCAAATGCGGGCAGACTTCACCTTGGAGTCGGTTTCCAATTCCAGGAGAAAAGCCGCATTGACATAAGCATGGGCGTTTTGGGCACGAGGCATGATCTACGGAGGGGATGTTGTATAAAGCAAAATAATCTTAAGCTTATGAAAAGTTCGTACCTTATAGGACTCGTATATGTACCTATCCTTCGGATAGGCAGGGAGAATAAATGCCTTTAGCAGCAGTTTCCCATCACTTGTACTTAGATATTCTGACAGGGACATTTCCTTTTCCTCAGTGGCACTTTTCAAGGCCAGAACCTTAACGTTCAGGGCCTCAAAGGATATGAAGATGTCAGATGGAAACTCGGGATGCTGCTTCTTAATCGATATATTGCCGGCCAAAGTTCCAGACTGAAAGAGAAGGGAATGCAAATTCTGTTCATTCTTAAAAGAAGATATTTACTCACGTTTCGAACTGGAACATTAGCAATCAGATCGATATGATTCCAAAGGACCTCCAAATACTCGAATCCCGCTTGCTTAGATGTGGTGCGAATGATTTCCATGGTCTGGGTCAGACTGAGATTAGCTCCCAACTTCAGTTGCTGCCCTTCTGAGCTGTGCTGATGCAGCTCCTCCACTCCGTGGACATCAATGAAGTGCTTAATATCGGTGGATCTGCGGTAGACTCCATGAGCTGTATTGCCAGCCACCAGCATGAACTCATCCGAGTCCTTGACCTTGGCCAGGGCCTCAAAAAGTTCGGTCAGATTCTTGGGCCAGTGCCACTGACTTCCGTCGTCGTAGACCAAATTGGATGGCTGACAGCTGCCACTGCAGGGCTGCCCTGTCTTTGGGCAGTTTCGAGCCTTCAGATCCTCAATATCCGCACACTCTGCCGGAATCCGAATGTTGCTGTCCACGGCAAAGGACTTCATGGCATCCAAAATGGGACGATAGCCAGTGCAGCGGCAAATGTTGCCCCCAAAGGAGTTCTCCACCTCCGACATGGTGACCTTCCCATCGTGCTGCTCCATCAGTCCGTACATGTTCATCACGAATCCGGGTGAGCAGAAGCCACACTGGGTGCCGTTCATCTTGGCCAGTCGCTTCTGGATGGGATTGTAGCCCGTGCGCTGGTTTCCCAGTCCCTCGGCGGTCACGATCTCCAGCTGGGCACAGGTATTCAGCAGAGTGAGGCACTAAAAGTGGGTGAATCATTAGCGATCAATTGGATGAAATGCGTTTGGGGACCTGTTCCTACCGAATTGACGGCCCAGCTGCGCTTTCCATCGCGCACCACACAAATGCAGGCGCCACATCCTCCCTCTTGGCACATAAATTTGGTGGCCGTAAGTTGGGCATGCTCCCGAATAAAGGTGTTCAGAGTTATATCCGGGGGAAAATTGGTTAAGTTCACTGCGGAATAAAAGCGGTGAAGCGGGGAGATGATTAGAAGTTGTGCACAATAAAGTTATTACAAGTCTAACAACAAAAACCTGTCTGTAAGTCCGTTAAAAAATCCATTAGCAATGGGAAAACAATGTACACTTTAATTGCCTGTTGAATTTTAATTGCCTGTTGGATTTTATTTGCCTGTTGGATTCCGAAATACATATATGTAACGCTTGCTATCTTTATGTGATCTTACTGCCCTTATTCTCGTGTGTCTAGCGGAAATAATGATGGTTTACGGACGCAATTTTTTTTCCGATAATTATTTTTTTTTATAATCAATTTAAGACCGAAATTTTGCTCAAAAATCATTTTCTTTGGGTTGAGAAATCGGTTATTCCTTCTATTGCTCGATTTGACTATAATTTAACGACATCTGTTTGGTTTTTTAATTTCGGCGGATCCAGACCAATGATATAGTGGTCACCGCAAAACGCGTTTTTTGAGAGGAGCTTTCGGAGATTAGTTGCAGCTCCTTTTCAAATTCATATTTTCTCTAATACTAAGTCTTAAAATACAGTCAGTCCTCTAACTGTATATAACCCCTTAATAGATCAATGACAAGTAAAAAAAACATCACTATTTGCCAGACACTTAGGGATATAGAATTGTGAATACAAATTTACTTACTCATTAACAAATAAAATGTGCTTACTTAAAACGATAACGAGTTAATGAAAACTATTATGAATTTAGCTCACCTGCATACGACACCCCGTTGATAGTGAATTTCGTCGACATTCTGCTGCTGTTCTCAACAATAACAGGGCAACAAAAACTCAAATGTCAGCTGCTGAAGTGTTTTTTCTATAAATAATTCAATTAGTTGTGACACTGGCTGGGGTTTTCCATTATTTTCCGTTTGCTGCTTACTTTTGGCTCCGGTCGCTTCGAGTGCCGTTGCTCAACTGATCGAAAAATCACGTCTTGGGCCCGTTCTCCGATTTTTAGATTGCAATTTTCTCGGCTGCCGTAGACAAACAAAACAAAAGTTTGTTTCGACACACATGCACACTCCGTGTAAGCTAACAACGGTCTGAGTAGATTTTCGAGCTTGACGATCGACGTTAATTGCAGATTGGGGACTGGTTGCTCCTCGATCGCGAACCTCTGCCTCAAAACTGCCGGCGCCGGATTCAGCTTGTTGCTTCGCCACCCCATTCGTCGGTCGATTTTGGCAGCTGTGAACTAGTCACGATATTGGAAAGAATAGCTGAAATGAAATCGGGGAAAAGGGGCATAGCTTCGGCATAAGAGAGCTTTGCATACCCTACCAATTTACAGAGTGATTTTGTAAAAAACAAAATACATTCCGAAATTTGTTGTACAAAAACGTATTTTCATTTTATTTTTTTTAAGTTTACAATAAAAATAAAAGAGTAACGTTGAAAAAAAACTTATACTACTATACTCTAGAGTACCAAAAAAAGCTGAATGCAAAAGAACATTATGCTGACGCAAAAAAAAACCGATCAGAGCAGGCCTTTGTTTAATTTAAGCGTGTATATATGTATGTATGTATGTATTTTTATTGCAAATGCACATATGTAATTTGTCTGGGCTTTAAAAGAACTACAATTATATTTTACGCTAGGCTGGATATCATACTGCCTATTCAAAATTGGATGGCTGTTATAATGCCTATACAAAATAGGCAGACTCACTAATCTGCTTTTAATTTGCGTCGAACACCATAAAAAACAAAAACAAAGAGCCGAATAGAATCTCTTGTACACTAAAAATAAAAGAGAGTGCAAGATAAACAAGAGAATGAGAAAGCCGGCCGGCAAAACATACACATTTTCTCTCTCGGTTTCATTGGCAAATTTGAAAGCTCTCAGTTTTCAGAACAAATAAATAATTTTAAAAGCTTTAACTGTAAATTGGCTTTTTAGCAAAAACTAGCAATTCAAGCTTTAAATATTAGAAAAATGTGGTGTTAAAATGTGAATCAAAAAACGCTGAACGAGGTCTGTTTCTTTAAGAAAATTAAAATTAAATAAAAGAACTGACCAATTTCTAATATGTTGAATATATTTGTATTGCAGATTCAACAAGAAGTGCAAATAAAATACTCGCATTTGTGGGTACAGTGTACGAGAAGACGGCTCTTGAAATAGATCTATTTCAGCTTGTACTCCGAGACTTGATGACCGGCATTGAGCAACAAGGTCTCCGGCGTGGTGGGAGCACCCAGGCGGAGCCACTCCCGCGGAAGTCCTGCATCCTGGCGGGCTGATTGCAGGGCCTGCTGCAGGGCGAATATCACGCTGACGGCCAAGCAGCAGGGTGGCTCCCCAGTGGCCTTGGAGCCCATGAATCCTCCGCCACCGGGCTTCGCATTGTGCACCAGCTCCACGCGGAAATCGATGGGTATGTCCTTGGCCCCCAGCGGCTTGTAGTTCCAGGTACGGTTGGTCAGCAGCCGCCCGTTGTCGCCCTCGAAGATGAGCAGCTCGCTGAGCCAGTAGCCCAGCCCCATCACAAAGGCGCCCTCCACCTGGCCGACATCTATCCAGGGACTCAGGCTCTCGCCGGCGTCTTCCAGGATGTCCACGCGCCGGATCAGAATGTTTCCGGTAAGCACATCCACCTCCACCTCGGAGAGGGCCAGTCCGTGCACATGGTAGTTCTGCATGTCGCCGGTCTTGTAGTGATCCGAGGCAATCAGGTTGATCAACTGGGCGTTGGCGGCTTGCACGGTCTCCTCCCAAGTGGCCTTGGCCTTCCTCACTGGCTTTAGACGAGCGTTGAGGGTCTCGCAGATCTTGCGGACCGCAAAGCAGATGCTCTCACTGCCGATGGCATAGCCAGTGACCATCGAGTTGGCTCCGTTGATGGTGTCCGAGGACTCCACCTTGATGTAGCTCAAATCGATGCCCAGGGTGTAGGCTGTCACTTGCGCTATCTTCGTGTTCATACCTATCGAGATATCAGTGTAAAATGAAGACCAAAACCAGTTTCTTTTCCTTACCCTGTCCCATTTCTATGCCACCATGGGTGACGACAACCGTGCCATCCGCATGGTAAATGGCCACTGTGGCCGGAAACTGTCCAATGTAGATGACGGGGAAATACATCGCGGACAGGCCCAATCCTCGCTTTTTCCAACGGTTATTGGCGTTGAACGTATCGATCTCCTTCTTCCGGGAATAGTACTCCCTCGACTTGAGAAACTCCGGCATCAGAGTGGCCATCCTAGTCTTTTTGCTAATGTTAGCCAGTCGCACTTCGGCTGGATCCTTCTGTAACTCAAAGGCCACGTGCTCAATGATGTTCTCCATCATGGCAATGCCCTCAACAGATCCAGGGGCACGACACCAAGTGGAGCTGGCGGCATCCGTGAGGACCGCATGTCCACTGAGCTTGAAGTTGCTGTCGGTGAACTCATAGCAATTGGCAGCTGTAAATGTGGAGTGTCCCTGCACAGGACTCTCGTTCGCATTCCAGCCAGCGTCCTCATAGAAGTCGTTCGAAAGCCCCACAATCCTGCCATTGGCCTTGACGTGACACTGATACTCGGAGCGACAGGCCCATCGCTTGCCATTGCAATCCATCATGGACTCCAGCGATTGGACGAACCGAACGGGACGATTTAGCTTGTACGCAGCCAGGGAAGCAGCACAGGCCACCTGGTTGCCTCGGGAAATTTTGCACCCATAGCCACCTCCCAACCGACGAACCTGCAATGATTATTACTCAGTGACTAAATCCGAAATCATCAAAGTAACCAATACTACCTGCAGTTGTACGTCTTTGGCCTTCATCTGGAGCGTATGAGCAATCACAGACTGCGTTTGATCAATCCATTGGGTGGCCGAATAGACCTTGAGTCCATCCTCAAAGGGAATAACCACCGTGGTCTGGGGCTCCATGGTAAAATGATACTGCAGGCCCATCTCGAAGATGCCCCTCACCTCCAAATCAGGTTTGTCCGACAATTTGACATGCTTCAACTTTGATATGGCCAGGGGAAGAATGCGGGAGGGATCTGGAGTTTCGGAGGAAAAGACATCTTTCAAAGTCGCCTTTAACTTGAAGTCCGATTTGACATTGCTGTAGCTGATCTTCACCAGCTTGGCCGCCCGTTGAGCCTGGTCGGCAGTCAGAGCCACGACCACTCCCGCCGGCTGTTCGGAGTGGCGCACCAATCCCGAGCAGAAGATCTCTTCCGCCTCGTAGCCCAGACTGGGATCGGTGAAGGTGTTCGCTCCGGGAATGTCCTTGGCGGAGTAGAAGGCCACCACTCCCGGATACTGGAGAGCATCAGAGGCGTCAATCTGATCGATGGTGGCTCCCACCTTGGTGGCACCAGCAAAGGCGCAGTAGACCGAGTTAGTGGTGGTCAGCACGTCGTTCATATAGGTGGCCTCGCCGGAGCACTGGATCATGCCCTCCAACTTCTGCACCGCTTCGGTTACCGGGTAAGTCTGCTTCTGGGTGGAAAACAACTGCAATCCGGAGGAGAGTGGTCGCTGGAGCAGCTCGCCCCCGCTCTTGAACTTCCCACTGACCTCCGAGTTGGGGGCGTGCTTCAGGAGGAACCTGTAGAGCAGTCCGCAGGTCAACTTGGATCGGTAGGCGGGACTGGCATCGGGCAGAACCTCATCCGGCTGGACCAGGCTCTCCAGCTTGCTGAAGGTCCGCTCCACCAGATTGGGTTCGAAGGGACTGTGTCCCACCATCAACTGCTCAATGTCTGAGGCGTGGACGAAGTCTGGACGAATGCCTCCAAAACAAATACGAGCAGAGTTCACCTTGGAGTCCGAATCTAGCTCCAGAAGAAAGCCTGCGTTGACATAGGCATGGGCGTTTTGGGCACGAGGCATTATCTTCAGGGAAGTAAAGATTTTCATTTAGAACCTATTTCGCAGTTTGTGATTACTATTACCTTGTAGGAGTCGTATATATACTTATCCTTTGGATAGGCAGGCAGTACAAAAGCCTTGAGCAGAATTTTTCTATCGGCATCTCCTAAAAATTCTTCTAGTGAAATTTCCTTTTCGTCATTTAACCCTTTCAGGACAACTACTTTCGCATCCAGAGCTTCGAAAGTTATGAAAATATCCGATGGAAACTCGGGATGTTGCTTTTTAACCAAAATATTGCCAGCCAAAGTGCCTAACTAAAAGTTAGGCCATTAAAACAAAGTTACGTGATACAGGTACACTTACATTTCGAACGGGAACATTGGCAACCAGGTCGATGTGATTACACAGCACCTCAAGGTACTCGAAGCCTGATTGCTTGGAAGTAGAGCGAAGGATCTCCATGGTCTCAGTCAAAGTAAGATTAGCACCTAATGTCAACTTCTCTCTTTCAGAGCTGTGCTGATGCAGTTCCTCCACTCCATTCAAATCGATGAAGTGCTTGATATCGGGGGATCGCCTGTAAACACCATGAGCCGTATTGCCTCCGACCAGCATGAACTCATCTGAGTCCTCGATATTCTCCATCGCCTCGAACAACTCCGCGAGAGTATTTGGCCAATACCACTGGGATCCATTCTCGTAGACTAGTTTGGTATGCCTACAGCATCCTTTGCAGGACTTCCCCGTCTTTGGACAGTTTCGAGCCCTCATATGCAGGTCCTCAATTTCAACACACTCTCTGGGAACCTCAACATTGCTGTCCACGGCGAAGGACTTCATGGCATCCAAAATGGGACGATAGCCAGTGCAGCGGCAAATGTTGCCCCCAAAGGAGTTCTCCACCTCCTCCATGGTCACCCTGCCGCCGTGCTGCTCCATCAGTCCGTACATGTTCATCACGAATCCCGGGGAGCAGAAGCCGCACTGGGTGCCATTCATCTTGGCCAGTCGCTTCTGAATCGGATGGTAGCCGTGCAGATGGTTGCCCAGACCCTCGCATGTAATGATCTCCAGCTGGGCACAGGTATTCAGCAGTTTGAGGCACTGCGAAGCGATTGGAGGAGTGGTAGTTAGTGGTGGAATGATCCGGCTGACCTCTGACCCACCGAATTCACTGCCCGTGTGCCTTTCCCATCGCTTACTGCACAAACACAGGCCCCACATCCGCCCTCCAGACACATAAACTTAGTGGCCGTAAGTTGGGCGTGCTCCCGGATAAAAGTGTTCAGAGTTGTGTCCGGTGGCAGATC